TCGGACTGCTCGGCGTCGACCCCGGGTTGGCCACGGCCGGCCTGGGTCGATGGGCCCCGACCTGCTTACCTCCCTCCGGGTCCGCTCCTTCTTTGGCTATTTTTCCTCTTTTCAGTTGCTTAGCTAATCTCTATTTTCTCCCTATAACAGTGTCATCCTAATCTAATTAACTCAATGATAAATGAGCTAAAGCGAGCATAACTCAGTGCTAGTTGGCATATACCTCAAATCATGAGGTTGTGAGTTCGATCCCCACCCCCACATGTTGTATTAAAAAAACTCAATGGTAAATGACATTTATTTCTTTTTTTTTAGGTTGGAGGTTCATAATTAACATTTTCGGATTGAGTCGTGGAAGATTGAAGTGTGTTACCATGTTCCTCAAAGATAGTTAGTCAATTTAATCTTCGTATAGGCATAATATATATGTTAAACACTTATATGGCCTTTCTACTTAATTCTCTTACTATAGTCACTAATTTGATCATCAAAATTATATTGTCTTAGGCCAATCTAAACAAACTCGTTAAAAATATCAATTTAATTCATATAAGATATCTCTCGTTCACAAACTATTCTAATGTTTAAATATAATATTACATTTTTTTTGGAAATATACTCGTAGTTAATGTCTCACCTAGAAAATAAATCAAATCCAAATTACCTCAATTAAATGACATTTACATGTATTGGTTAAGAAACACATTTGTCCCTATATTTTGGTTAAAATAGTGATTTAGTTCCTGGTCTTTAATTTTGTAATAATTTAGTTTTTATATTTTCAGATGGGTAGTAATTCAATCCCTAAACTTTAGTATATAACAATTTAGTCTATGTAATTTAAAGTTTGGAATAGTTTAGTTGTTATCATGAAATTTTTTGTTTAGTTTATTATATATGTGGATTGATAAATCGATGAGTGACCAAATGCATTTATACATTACAAAGACTAAATTGTGTTTGAACTAATAATAATTTAGTCCCTAAACTTTAGTAAGTAACAATTTAGTCTATGTAGTTTAAAGTTTGTAATGATTTAGTCCATATCGTAAATTTTTTTTTTTTAAGTTTCTTATATATATAGGAAGATAAACTGATGAGGAACCAAATGTGTTAACACATTACAAACTAAATCGCTATATGATTAACTTTGACACTTCATATTTTTTTATGAAACTTTTTATAGTAGGGACTAAATAGTTACGAATTTTAAACTATAGAAACTAAATTGTTACGTACTAAAGTTCGAGGACTAAATTATTACTAATTTGGAAGTATATAAACTAAATTTCATATACTAAATTATTAAAAATACAGTGACCAAATATGTTTTTTAATATATTTTTTTTTTGATAAAATGTTTATATATATGTATATTAGAACATGTATGTATGCATATATTAGGGAAAATAATAATTGTGATGTTTAATTTGTTTGTTTGGTAGCATGGTGTATGATTATCCATAACTTCTCCGGCGATGAATGCGATGCCACATTTTCCATGCGCCCAAATGACGCGTGTCATTTCCCTACTCCCCCTCTGCACTGACACGTGCCAGTTGGTGTTACCGCTGGCATCCAGCTAATTCCACTCACATTCCTATTTTTTACTATTTTTTTTTTGGAAATATTTTCTTATTTCCATTAAGATAATACTTTATTTGTTATTTAAGAAAAAACTTTAAAATAATTTTTTCAAAGAATTGATTTTGTAAAAAAGATTTTTATATAATTATTTTAATGTTTCCTTATACACCTTTCCGAATGATTTTTATAAAATAAGAATGATTTTGAATGATTAATATTTAAAGCTTAAAGAGAGAATTTGACGAAATTTTTAGAGAGAAAGAAATTTTTAGAGAGAAAGAAAAGTTAGTGAGAAAAAAGAATCTTATAGATAGAAATTTTAGAGAATGACAGACAAAAAAATTTTAGATGGAGAAATAAATTCAGAAAACATATGTAAACTAAAAATTTAGAGAAATTAAAAAAAGAAAAAAAAAAGGAGAATAAATGAGAGAGAGTAAACAAAATTAGAGATAAATAAAAATTAGAGATAAATAAAGTTAGAGAGTGACAACAAATTTAGAAAATAGAAAAAATATTCAAAATTTAAGATAAAAATAATGCGAATAGAAAGATAATCTAATTTTACGAAAGAAAGTATGATCCTACTATATTTAGTTGCAGGCTTGAACACGTTCTTTTTAAATTATTTTGATTTTCTTTGATGAATCATGAACCTAATGAAAATAAATTTATTATTAGCTATATTTTAATATTTATTCCTTATCCTTAATAAGGTCAAAACATATTATTCAACTATATTTTAAAAATAACACACATAAGGGTAAAAGGATAGCAATATATCTAAGATATTTTCAAGCAATAGATTGCGTCTTTGATTTATAATAATTGACTTTTTCTTCATGGAAAAAAAAAACCAATTTGGTCATTTAATTTTTCTATAAAATAAAATTGATAAGTAATTTTTATTTGCCAAATTAACAAAACTAGTATATAGAAAAAGCAAATAACGAAGACTTTGAACAAAAATGAAATGTCAAATATGGTGCAAATTGTTTACTATTTTTCATTATATATATATATATTTATTTATTCAAAAAATTAGAAAAAAAAAAGCGACTGTTCTTATAAAAGTATATCTTAAAGATAATGGTCAACATAATCAACTATAATTTTCCAAAAAAAAAAGAAAAAAAACATCAACTTTAAAATGACTCCAATAAAATAATATATTTGTGAATATCTTAGTACTTTAATTATTTATTTCATTTTTTCTGAGAATAGCTGATCTTTTATTATGATTTTTTAGGAAAAAAATTATTAGGAATATAAAAATAATAGATTGCAGGTTAGATATTATGATTTTTTTTTAGATTAGCATTTTGGTGTTTTTAAATTTGAAAATGAACTTGCTATAAATGTAATAGGTCTTTTTATTTTATTTTAAATTTTTGATTGGATGGCTGTTCAAAGTGTAGATTAATTCTCACTTTGGAAATAATTTTTGGATATTAAAAAATAAATTTCATAGTAAAAGAAATTAATCACTAATTTTTTTAGCGAATCAGTAACTAGTTTAAAGTTAATTTACAAAATGAAAAAATAATAACAATTTCGACTCTTTTTATTCAACTTTTAGTTATTTTTATTGAACTTCTCTGAACATGTGAGTCATCGATCTTTATGGTGATTTAAAATTTTTATATTTTTAGAAATAAAAAATTTTCATATATATAATTATTTCAAAAAAATTATTTATTATTCAGCGACATAATTAGTATTTTTAAATATGTTGCAATTTTATAATTTCATGGAAATAGTATAGTAAGTGATTTTTTCTAACGTGACAGGTGGATGGGTATGGCTTGTTTCTATTTTCTATTTTATTTGTTTAAAATTAATTGAAATATGTTCCTATAAATGAAATATATATATTTTTACGTTAAATTGCATTTTTCTAGTTCATAATATTTTTTTCTTAATATTTTTTTAATTTTAATTTTATTATTATTTTTTTTAACGATGAGATGTCAAAACAAATTTCAAAATACTGGGCATATAACCTAAGTTACACCTAACCTTATCGTGAAGCATCCATTGAGAAATTTGAACTATAATTCTTCAAAATAGATCTCTTGTCGTTCAGTTTCAACCATCATTTTTGCTAGCTCATGACTACATGCTTTACTCCTCGTCTCCAAAGCAAGAATGAAATGGAAGAAAATTGGTGAGTAAATTGAAGAGTTTCTCAAATGATGAGCTTTAACTATGTTTTATCAATATTTAGCTGAACTAATATTACGTGAACTATAGCATAGTTAGAGTTTCCACCATTGAGTTAAAACCAGCTTCACCTGCTACAATCAAACTTTTACGTATGGCAACGGCTTCAACCATGTCTACATTGATGACATGTGTGAAATCATCTTACGCATAATTTCGTGCTCCAAAAATTTCTAAAATAACATTTAATATAGGTTATTGTTCCAACAATTCTCTTCGAATCGATGAAAATGTTTCTCTCGTTGCATAATTTCCCCATTTCTTATGTTCCAAGCCCACCAGCACATGACAATAAACCCCTCAACAATTCTTTCCACAAGTGATCCTAAATCCCCATGTTAGACAACATACTATTGTTGTTTTCATCGGACTAAAGTTTATACAATGTTTTTCCATTAGTTAAAAGTAATCTAAATTTCATGTGACAAAATTGTCCTTGTACTCAAAAGAGAAATAGTAACAAATATCTAATAGATTATTATTTGTGGTAGTTAAAAATATTACTAGTCCTAACTGCCCTTTTATCTTTCAAGCCAATAATATCTTAAAATAATGGATAACTTAAAAGTTCGATACTCCAACTTATAATTAAATTGGCTCAAACAAAATTAGTTTTAAATACTATTTTGGTCATTGTAATTTTAGTTCTGGTTGGTTTTAATCCTTCTATCTATTTGATTTTTATCCTTTTAGTTCCTCTATTATGGAGTGTCTATTTTGGTCCCTATAGTTTTAAGAAAATGATTATTTTGATCAATTCATTTTTATTTTTATCCCATTTATTTCAATCAAAATTTTTCACAACACTTCACTCACTAAAATTCCACTATAAATTAATATATAAAACTTGTGTTAAAGTCTAACAATCAATACCAAAATAGTCGTACTTAAAAATACAGAAACCAAAATCAAACATTTTAAAAATAGAAAAAACTAAAACGAGAGACCAAAATAGACCTTTTAAAGACAGGACCAAAATAATATTTAAACAATAAAATTATAATTGAGAAAAAAAAAAAAGAAAAAGAATATAAGTTAGACATATCATGTTAGTTAGATCACAAAAAAATGGCGTACAATTTGGAGTTTTATAGAATTTATATTCATAATTGAAGAATTCTTGCAACGCGGGCCCCACCCCTCTCTCTCTCTCACTCATCACCAATAATTGATCATCTTCATCTTCTTCTTCTTCTTCTTCTTCTTCTTCTTCTCTGTAATCCTGCTGTCAATCTCTCTCTCTCTCTCTCCTCAAACTCCATTGCTAAAACCCTACTTCAAGAACCACAATTCCCCTCAACATTTCTCCATTTCTCATCTCACTTTCCAACTCTGATTTCGCCATGCTTTTCCTCTGGTTCTTCTTCCTCTACTTCACGCTCCCAATGGCGGCGCCGACGCGCTCTTACGCTGCTCCGAAGCAGGATTCCAAGTCCATTTACGATCTGCTTTCGGCGCACGGCCTCCCCAAGGGCCTACTCCCCGAGGGAGTTAGGGATTACGAAATCGACGAGGAGAGTGGGCGATTTCAGGTCTTTCTGGATCGGGAATGTAATGCGATGTTCGAGAATCAGCTGCATTACGATATGAATGTTTCAGGGACTTTGAGTTACGGCCAGATCGGCGCCTTGTCTGGAATCTCTGCGCAGGATCTCTTCTTGTGGTTCCCTGTTAAGGGCATTCGCGTCGACGTTCCCAGCTCCGGCGTTATTTACTTCGACGTCGGCGTTGTTTTCAAGCAATTCTCTCAGTCTCTCTTCGATACTCCGCCGGAATGTGTCGCGGTTCAATCCCTTGCCGCTAATTCCAAGGTCTTACAACTCTTAATCTAATTTCTCATCTCCTAATTCAGTTTTCGTACTCCGTTTTTCTGCAGGAATTGTTTATTGTATTGATTTAGCGAGATTTTTACATTTTGTGGATGTTTTCTGAGTTTTTGTGTTGTGAGATTGTTAGGGTTTTTGTTTCGATTTCAATCTGTTCCGGATTCGGATTCAGGGTTTGTGCTTGTTTTTCATGTGTAGAGTCAACACCGGAAGATTGGGAACCAATTTGTTCAGCTGGGTTCAGGAAGGGAAGTGGTATAATCACTCTTGAAGCTATGCAAAGAGGCTGAAAGAAATCTCCATTATTGGGTTGTGAATCTTCATTGTTGTATATGTCATCAAAAGCATATATTATTAGCAATCTGCTATATGGTTCTTTACACAGTGTGTGCTTGAACTTCTCATCATCATCATTCAGAGCAGAGTTTCAGTCTGGGAATTTGTTGAGCAACTTCTGGTTTGGGTGAGGAAGAAAGGGGAAGAAGAAGAAGAACAACAACAACAACAATTGGTTCAGAGAAAATTCTTTTGGGGGAAGATTGCAGAATGGTAGGTGGAGTTCAGGTGAAAAAATCTACACATTTCTATTCAATAATCTTCAGAAATTTTGGTGTATTGTGAATATTATCATCATCATTATCACTATTTACCATCATCATCATCATAATCATCATTAATATTATTATTACAGTTGCTATAATTAATTTTGTTTTTTTGTCTGGAATGCAAACTTTCTGCAATAAACATGTCAAGAATAGAGTGCTGCTTACTTTTGTTTTATGCCCATGTCCTTTTTTTTGCCTCTCAGTTCTATAATCTAACACCAATATTGCAATGGAGACAGAACAGTGGAAATTTGTCAATCTTGTCAGAATCGGTAAACATTTTCTTTGTTGTAGTAGTCTAAAACTTGATAAGAAAACAAACAGTACTTTTTTGTTTGCATGAAAAAGTGATATCCCATATCTTAACTTGAAAATGGGATTTTACCATAGTGTTTGAATGGTGCTGAGTCTTTTTCTTTGACATTATACATTCATAGACTGAGGATATATTTGCTGCTGCACTGATAAGAACTGGGTCAACTAGAGCTGTTTGACACTCTTTTTGAAACTTCATATACAATCTTGTTTGGAAGATGATCAGATATGTATATCATTAGAGCATTTACCTTTGCTTTTTGAAAAGTTGTTTTTGGTCTGATGAGGAGATTTTACCATTTGATAAGACATTAGAGAAGATTAAGAATAACAAAAAGTGCTTTTAGCTAATTAAAAGCTCTTCTTTAGATTAGTCATGGCCTTCTTAAACACTCAAAAAAGTGCTTTAGATGGAAAGGTGTTTCACTTAGTTTAAGGTTTTTCTGGTCAGCTGAAGGTCTTATTTAGTCTTACATGAAATTTGCAAGCACTTTTTCAGGAACTACTGGTCTTCATGACAATGTCTTTTCTTTTTCTTTCTCTTTTTCTTCTCTTTTTTTTTTCTTTAAATTTAAATAGAAAGGTAAATACCCTTTTAACCCCTCAATTAAAAAAAAGGGGGAAGTGAAAAAGGTCGAGTTTCTGTTAGTTTGTGATGATAGAGGAAAAAGTATGGTTTGATTTAATTGATTTGATGTTACGTGTTTAATAAGTAATAAGAAATCTATTTTAATTTTCATGACCACGTAAGCAATGTTGAATCAACTTTTTGTCATTTTAACTCAAAAAATTAATGGTCGGATTAAATTGAAAAAGGTTGGAACTTTTATGGTTCTGTCTATTGGCCTTATACTTTAAAAAGTTTCTAACAAATTATTTAAACTTTAAATTTTGTATCTAATTAAATTCTCGTTGCAAACTCCATCAGCTTAATTTAAGGATAATTTAGCAGATTGATTTTAGGTATTTTGTAGCATAAATGTTTAACTAATAGAGTTAACAATAAAAACCTATTCAACACAAATTTGAAAGTTGAATGACCTATTTGAATATATACTTTTTAAAGTAAATGGACAATATAGATATAAGCTTAAAAGTTCGTGAATTTATAAGAAACTTTCAAGGGTGTTTTCATTTAAGTAATGATTTAGTGTCTAAACTTTAGTTTGTAATTATGATTTAGTCAATGTACTTTTAGTATGTAACAATTTGGTTCATTTAGTTTGAATTTGTAATGATCTAGTCCCTAACGTGAAAAATGTTGTTAAAATTTATGTACATTGATGAACATTGATGAAGAACCAAATGTACTTATAAAATATAAAGTCTAAATCGTTGCATAATAAAGATTGACACTTAATTTTTGTATACTATAGAGACTAAATTATTATGAACTTTTTAGTATAGGGATTTCAAATCGTTATATATTAAAATTTTGAAAATATAAGGACTAAATTATTATAAACTAAAGTCCAAAAACTAAATCATTTTCTGCCCATCTTTTACCCATTTTCTACTAATAAAATTCGAGGGTACCTCCTTCACCTATTAAATATAGGTAGAAGATGCCCCTATCCATAGCCCGAGGTGTATTTTTAAGAACAAATAAATATTTTTTAACCAATCGCTTAAAGTACAAGGGCTAAATAGACACTTTTGCTGCCATATAGTTGAGTTGAGTATAGAAAAACAAATATGTGGCATTAATTTGCATTTATAAAAGATGAGAGGCTAGAAAATTATTCATACCTAAAAGAATGAAAGTTAATCTTTTCCTTTTTGACTGTGGAGTTTTCGTCAATACTTGTGTGTTGTTCAACTCCATATGGCCAAACAAAAAGCTTGACATAACTACTCCACCAAATATAGAGTGATGAAATCTCTCTCTCTCAGATTGAGAAATATATAATTGTTTGAAGTTACAAGTCAAATATGTCTCTTGGGAACGACGAACTAGTAAGAGCATGGGGTCTTGTGATATTATCTACTGTGAGGTTTCGTGTCAAGCCTTGTACTGGTCATAGTGTTGTTCAGTCCATACAACTTGTCCTGATTATGCACACTGTCTTCATACCCGTATATACGCAAAGGGTCATTGTTTGGTGGAGTTGCGTTTCTTGTGGCTTGAACCCAAAACCTCAAAGATATTCCTGAAGTCCCAAGCCACCCAAGCTATCCCTCGGAGACACTAAAACATTAATGTGTATGTGTGTCGTGGAAGAGATGAGAAATTAGAGACAAAATGATTATGTTGGATGGAAATAATTCATAAGGTGGGGGTGTGGATATGGATATGTCCAGGGTGTGTTTTATGATAGAATAAAAGCCATGCCATTTTTTGAATTTGGATGGGTTTGAAATAATTTATATAATATTGTCACTGATTTTGTTGGATGATAATGGTGTGTGTGATGAAATGGAACTTTGCTGTCATGCTCACACAATCAATAATTTTGCAATTCCATGTTTGGGATTGGGATTGGGATTGTTTGAAAGTTTGTTGCATAAATTTGTCATTTTTTTTTCTAAAGTAATTATGAATTATGATGGGTGGTTTGAAACAAGTTTAAATGATTGTGTTATTTCAAATGATTGTTAATCAACTAATCAATTTTGTAATTTTTTAAATGGTCTATATACTTTTTTATCATTTTAATTTACGAACTCTCGTCTATATTGGTCTAACTTTTAAAAAAAAATACCATTTTGTTATTCCTGGTTTGTAAAATTGTTACACAAATTTATACACAGTAGAAAATATTTAATACAAATTTATGCTTATAATTCAAGTAATTTTGTAAGTGAAATGTCATGCTAAAAATAAATGGACCAAAATGATTTTTAAATTACAGAGATCAAAAGAAAAGCTTCGAAAGTATATGAACTAAAATGAACAAAAATTGAAAATATAAAAATCAAAATTAGTTAACTGTTTCAAAAATTACATGAACCAAAATGACTGAAACTTGGAACTAAAAATATAGATATTTTTTTTTTGTACATGTTGCAAAAATTAAGATACGTATGAAATCAAAATTTTAAAATAGTTATCCAAGTTTTATTTTACTTGGTTTTTATTCTTGAGTATTGAAATTCATTTCTCAAAATATCTCAATACATAGTTTGGATATGGATTTTTTCTCTTTTTTATTTTCTCCTTTTGTTTTTCCTCTACTCAATCTGTTGATAAAATGATGAAAAAATTATGTCGATTCAATTGAAGATGGGTGGGTGGTAGATGAGATTCTGTTTGATACTAAAGTCATTGAAGTAGCCTGTGGTCCAAAGGTTGGTTTATCGTCTAGACCAAAAAGTCAAAGTTTGTTCCGTTTGATCCATAAATCCAATAAACTGTTCGAGAATTAGCAGTCAGAATAGCAAAATTATATTGGTTCACCCCAACAGTTTAGGGATTATGTCCAGTCTTCCGCTCAGAAGCGGGTTCAACTATAATAAGAGATTGGATACAAAACACTTAAATATCTCCCAGATACACTTTCTAGAGGTCCCAACAAAAGCCCTCTAGCTTCTAAGTATTATTATAATACACTATACTTAAGTAGAGGAATGAAAAACAATCACTAAACCCACGGGACACATAATTCTTTTTATCACTGCCCACAACCACACAAGTCTCTTTTATTTGGGTTCTGCACAAATGAAACTTAACATAAGAGCTCTATTTATATAAAAGAGTAAATATCATAATTCTTATATATTGTAATCCTTATAAGACAATAATATCCTCCTTGTAGGGATTGGTTGTAATGTTGAAAATTATTTTCTTCATAGGATATGAGTTTCCTGTTTTAACTCCATAATCCCAACATAAACAATTTATTAGAAAAGTTGGGGTTAATTCCATGTCAATATTAATGAGGTTTCATTTCAAAACTAATTGATATCCCTTAATCGTGACGGTTTTGGCTCATCAATGTTGGCCCGATCTCATTTTTTGACTGGATTCTCATATGAACGTTTTGGACTTTGATACTATATCAATATTCGTGAGTTTCATTCCAAAATAAGTAGTTCATATCTATTATAAACTATAAGATCTATTGTTTTTTTTTAATATGAGATCCTTAATAGCCATATTTATACCAAAAAATAGCTAAAAGTATCCCAAAAATATAATGACCAACTGATTTTTATGTAGGGTTGATTATGACAAATATATATATATATATATATATATATATATATATTTTTTTTTTTTCTTTTCATTTTTAGCTATATTTATTTTTATATCCATTGTATTTAGTTATATGTCTACTAGATTTTTAAAACATATCATACCGTATTTTCCTATTCAATATTTTCAAGATCAAAATCTCTCAGCATTTTCCTTTATTCTAAATTACTTTTTAATTATTTTTAGATATTGTAGGCGTGATTCTTTCAAGATTTTCTGTTAATTAAATTTTAAATTGACCTGTCCATTTTTTTCAACCGTGATTTAAGATTTTTTTAATTTAAGAGTTGTTCTTGCTTAAAAAAAAAAAAAGAAGACGACGAAGAAGAAGACATTGTTATTCCAATTCTTTATTTTAATTTTCAACGTAGTACATACCATATCATTGTAATTTTTATTTGAGCACGAGTTAGTCTCATTTATTATGAACTTCTACTTGAGCCATGTTTAAGAATAACAAGTTCTTTATTACCAAGAATAGAATAATGGTGTATAACGAAATAGATTTGTGTATCAATTTTTTTTTCTAACTTTCAATTTCATCGAATTACACTTAAATTTAGATTGACGTTGTAATCTTTACTTTAAACTTAATAAGAGTGTTGCAATTTTTGCATTCTAATAAGTTTTCATTTGAAGAATAGTTTAAAAAGTATTTTCATGTGCATTTAATGAATTATAAAACATATATTTGGTATGTAATCATAAGAATGCTCTAGGTTTATATCTCACTTGCTTTAGTGCAAGTGGAAGATTGTTGAGATGTCATACCTAAACTCATGACATTAGATAAACTATAGATAAATAAGGAAAATAAACTCAATATAATTAGATGTTCATCTTGTCGTGGAAATTGACATTCAATGTTTAATCGCTCCTAAGCCACCATATGCGTTGTCAAACTAGTATGTAACGGACATATGAGAGGATATATTTTAAGAATAGTGACTTAAAATAGTCTACAATATATGGATAAGGTTGACTATTTGATCTTAATCATGAGTGTACTATCAACTCATGTCTAAGCAACTGTGGTTTTTTAATTTACATGGGTTAGGGTGATGTAAATGTTCGCCCAATAAGCCTTCTAATTTTAGAATATATTCAAGTTGGGAGCTATGAACATTTCTACATACAGTGAAATTTACAGTCTCTCAATAGGAGAAAATGAAAAGTGTGCACTTCTCCTTATTGAGTATGTAGATAAGTGATTTCTTTAAAGTGTTAATTCGAGACTTGGATAAAATGGTCTCGCCTTCTTCATACCCAAGAAGATTTTTTTTCCATGATGAGATCATAGAAGACCTTATCTCTCTCTCCATTAGAAAACCAATGCAACTTAAGGAGCAAGAGATACAATTAGGAAAAATGATAAGTTCGTGCGGCTGAAACCATGAATCACTTTGTGAAGGATTAGATGAGTAGTTATAGTTATATTTGTGGACATAATTCATCTACAACCCATGAGAGTGCAAATCTTGGTTTATAGTGGAGTCACATTAGGTTAATAATAAAATTAGTTAATATCAAAGAATTTAATTAAACAATTCTTGACCGTTGAAATTCAAAGTTGTAGGTTCTTAAGGTCTCATGTTAGCTTGTTGATCTCTATAGTTAACATTTAATTGGAGAAAATTAAATAATGTTGATTATTTAATTCAAATTAAACTATTTAATCTGTAAATTAGATTTATTATTAATTTAATTGAAAATGGGTCCATTTGGATAACTAAGTCATCTTTAGGCTCAATTAGATAGAAAATGACCCATTGAATTTTGGAAGCCCAATGAGATATTAACTTGATTTATGGTCACATGGAAGAGTCTCTAGACTCGAACTCATGAGTTGTGAGCCAACAAAATAATTAAGAAAATTTAAAAAAATTAAAAGATTAAGAATATATATATATTAATTTCCATAATTAATGAGAGAATTAGTTAGCCTAACAGGGTTTTGTCTTAAAGTGAGACTTATCAAAATCCTAAAGTGCCCATATACCAGTTCGTTGTTGGTCAAGATGACCGCACATCTAAAAAGATCACATGTTGTCCACACATCTAAGAGGTAAAGGATTGATCCTTTTGTTTTCAAAATCATTTTAATTAAAAGTCGCATTCATTTTACCGATTTAAAAGTGCTTGCTTCCTTTGCGCCGCTGGATAGGGGTGTTCACGGATTGGGTCGGGTCGGGTTAGGGATATTTTTGGGACCAACCCAAATTTTCGAGTTGCCTATATATAAGAACCGATGGACCC